CATCAAGGATAATGATTCACGATAAAGTTCTCTCCAAAATATATAGATCAACAAATGGTTCTACATGTACGACATTAGCGATGGACATGCCCACTCCACAGCAAATAACTATGATGAACAGTTTTGTCTGGAGTACTCTGGAACTTCCGATAAACTTTGTATCTAATAATTTGAAATAAATCAAGTTGTCTGGATTTCAAACTCCATACCTGGATATAGAAATCTTTAAAATTCAACTAATAGACTACAATGCTTCCACAAGTAGTCATAGTACTGTTAATGGGACATTAAAACATTTTTTGCTATTTTTTAGTATGAAAATACTATTAATTTTTTATTTGTGTTTTATATGTTTTATTATGTAATTCTTTTAAATCAATATTAATAAAATAAAATTTTAAAAACTAAATCACATGTATTAACTTAACCGAACCCAATTAAAAGAAAACTGTAGCTTTGGTTATGCATTTTACATTGGCGCTTCAATCAGGTAAGAAAAGTTCATGGTAGGACCAGGACCACCATGACTCTCCACGGCTACCCAACGACATCTACACAACAACACGAAGAACAACTTGTCTGATTCTTCTTACTAATAAGCATACAAAGTACTAGGTGAATCGAATGAAAGAGTTGAGGTCTCTAAATTTGGAATATACGTGATGGAACATCATATGAATTAGTCTCCGAAATCTAGATCACATTCTAAAGAGCCCTTCATTTTATATGTAACCAAAATGTGAATAGTTAATTATGTTTCTTAAAATAAGCTTTTTACCCCCACAAATTTGTAAATTCTGTTTTACAATTAGTGATTTGAGAACCTAACTATGAAAATCTGTTTCTTTCGGGTTTAGCAATCACCGTTCTTATCCAATTTCTCTTCTCAAAATTATTCGAGATAATTGATCTTTACTCAGGAGAGAGATTAATCCCCAAAACCATGCCACGTAACATAAAAGTAGAGAGAGTTACACTGAGGGATACAATATGACTTTGTGTATCACTAAAAGATACATAGTAAAATTGAGCCACATTATGTGGACATGTGTATATTTTGTGACAGAACTAACCCTGCTTTTATCTACAAATAAATATGTTGCAAAATGAATTGTTTTTGGACCACAAGATTATAAAATTTCTTTTTTTTATCTTGTTTTTTTCATTATTTTAGTTACTTTTACGAGATTAAATCAGTGTCTCTCTCCTCCACCTCCTTTATCTTTATTCCCCTTTTAATCAACACTTCCATCATCATCTTCATATCCATCACAGCGACCTCCTCCACTATCTCCTCCACCTCCATTACCACCTTCGTTTTAATTACAACCTCCGTTTTAATCACCACTTCCACTATTTTTTTTCTCCACTTCTCTTACCATTTTTGTATCTACCACAGAAATCCCTATCTGCAATTCTTCGGTTCACATCAATACAACCACTGACCACAAGATCTCCATCCACAAATCTTCTGACCACATCAATAACATCCACACACACACATTAACCACCACCGTCACCTCCATTAATTATCACCTCCATTATCTCCTCCACCTCTATTACATTTTCGTATCCACCACTGACAGCCCATCCGTAACTCTTCCAGTTACATCAAAAAGATCAAGATAACCACTGACCACAAGATCCCCATCCACAATTCTTCCGATCACATCAACAATATCCACATACACATTGACCAAGAGTGCCACTGTCACCTCAATGAATACCACCGCCTCCATTATCTTCTCTACCTCCGTCGCCACCGCTCCCACGGGATTGAGCGACGGTCTCTCTCTTCCACCTCCATCACAGATCATCTAGATTTAGGAATTTGAAGAGATAAGATTTAGGAATTTGAACCACGGCCTCTCTCTTCCACCGATGTTATAATGGTGGGATTTTAAAAATCAATTAGTAAAAGGTGTGAAGACGAATTGTTGTAATGGATCGAGTGGAGGCTCTGCGATTCTTTGATTTCGGTTTGTTGTCCATGTATAAGATAAAATTGATTTTGAGTGAAGGATCTAAGATTTTTTTTAATATTTTATGTTTATTGATTTGCCATCACCATCGATAGAAAAGAAGGAGAAAGAAGGAGAACTATGATTAGGGATTATAAATTGAAGAAGATAAAGTGATGAGATCAAATTTTCAAAATTTGGAATAAAAAAAGTAAAGGAAGAAGATCGGTTTTGGAAATAACAAGAGAGAGAGAGAGAGATGGTTGAAAGGGTATGAGAGTGTCTATCAAACAGTATCTATTAGGGTAATTGAGAACTCATAAAGTGTCTATGAGAATATTTTTTTCTAAAAAGTATAAGTAATGTCTAATACCTTTTCTCATAAAACAGGTTTCTTAGAGCACCATTAAGTCCCCACCTCTTAAGTGGGTTCTTAAGAGGTGGATCCCATAATTTTGTTAAAAACCACATCTTCCTCTGCAAGAGGCGAGTTTGTTGGAGTTATACTGTTCGCAAACCCCACTAACACGTGGCAGTCTACGATTGGTTAGTTTTTAATTATTTTTTAATCAGACAAAAAAATTTTTAAAAAAAATAAGAACCCCAAATAGGGTTAATGGTGCTCTTGGAGCACCTCCAATGAGGACTCTTCCCATTGGAGTTCTTAATATATGTGTTATGTATATATATATATATATATATATGTATGTATATATCATATATGCGTAAATAATTATGGGGTCCACAATTATTGTGCAACCCCATAAATAAAAGTTTTTAAAGATTTTTAAAACTCTCTTTTCAAAACCCTTATATCAGAGGTTCCACAAAAATTATAGACCCCACAATTACTTATACATATATAATATATATATATAACACATATATTAAGAGTCACAATAAGAAGAACCCTCACTGAAGGTGTTCTTAGCTTTCTTTTTAAAAACCTAATTTCATTAAGTTCTTAATTGAATCTACACATATTACCATGTACAAAATAATTGTGGGTTGAGACTTGAGACATTGTTTTCTATTCTTTGTTTGTTTTGAACAACCTGCAAATAAATGAAATCTATTATTTTTCTTGAATAGTACCAAAGATGTCTTTGCTGTATATATTGTGGTGGACGTTATATTCCAAACATTGAAAATCTCTAATTCGATTGTGTGATAGTTAACATATGGGATAACTACCTACATGCGATTTAGATATTCTCATAGAGCTTTCAAAAACTATTTAAGATGAGTTTAGAGCCAATACTAATCCAGACATAAAACAATATTATATCTTTCTTTTTATCAAAAGAGTAAGAATCTGAGAAGGTAATATAAATAATAGTATTTCTTAACGTTCTAAAAATTAGTTTAGACGAAAGCATAGGCTGTAAACCGGTCATAACTGAAATGATTTTATAAACTCTGATTTATACTATTCAAATCGGTGTACACCATTGTAATATCAGCTTAACCGTTTCAAATCGATTTAAATTAGTGCAAATTTATAAAATAAACTATAAAGATAATGCGTGGGTGTCAAATGATTCGTGTAGTCGCTAATTTTATACAAAATGTCTACTGCATAGTGATTTGTTGAACATTAATATATCTGAAAATTATATATATAGTATCTTTATTGATATGAGCGAAGTAGCTTGTGTTTGAGGATGAGAATCAAACACGTAAACTGTGGGGCCAAACTTAACATTGCTACCTTTTCATGTGTGGGCTATGATACAACTCTAGCATTATTTTTTTCGGAACTAAATCTAACAGATTTTATAAATTACGTAACACAGTTTCCTTGATTGACAATTTATTAAATTCTGATCTTGTTATGTTCTGAAGAAGATAGCACTTTAACCCATTTTCTTAGTTATCTGGTAGTTAGAATATCACAAGATAAGATCCAAATAGATTTTCTAATATACATTTCGCATAAATTATTGAGCGTATCTGAATCTGAATACTATTATAATTAAGAAAACCCAACTAGATGGTCTTTGTCAATATCTCCCCATGCAACCAAATACACACACATCCCTCGTGCTTCCTGTTTTTGTATTCTCGTTCTCCTTAAGTGAATTTCAACCACAATTATTTTCGTTTATAGTTTATTCTCTTTTACTTTTGTTAGAACGAAAACTTAAAAATTAGATCCAAGTGAAATCTAGATTCACTTTCAGCTCAATCCCCTAACATGTGTGTCCGAAATCTTGTCAGCCCATAAGTATGTGAATCAATACTTTTATTTGAAGTTATCAGAAAACTACACGTTCACTTTCATGTAAATACTTTATAAACTCTATATATTGGTAAGAAGAGTCAGTTTATTTTCGAATTTAAAATATTGAAACGAGTGGCATATGTTAATCGTACGTATGATATGGGCTAACAAGTTTATGCAATATATTATTTCAATTATGTATAGTTATGCGAGCTTAATTGCATATGTCATATTTGATGTGTGAATGTTTATTTATTTAAAATTTTGGTCTAAGACCTGTAAGAGCATAACTCTGTATGAGGTGCATTTGCAAGAAGATGCATATATAAAACACATTTTGTAACAGACTTAATTACATGCATATATATATAAAGTTCGAAAAATGCATAAAAATATATCGTGGTTATCAGGCAGGTTTAGTCGTTAATTATGGTCATTCACAGTTAAACAGCATTGGGGAGTTTAGCCGCCCATGTTTTGTTGTGTCGGCTGCGTTGTTTTCTCGTCAAAGATGTCTGTCTGCTGAGTTACCATGCATCTGTTTTACTCGACATGGATGGATATCTCGTCACTCTTCGTCAAATGTAAATATTTTCTAAAGAAAATATAATGATCTTATCTTTTTATGGATAAACGTTCGTAATGATTTCTTTTTATTAAAAAATATATTATGTCATTTTTAGTCCTTTTCGAATTAATTCCGTTGTTAATTAATTCAACAAAAAAAATATCCGTTATTATTAGTTTATCATTTATTTTGCGGTCACGGGGTAACACTATCTTTATAGTATTTCGCCATTAATATAATTGACAAACATTTATCCAAGAACAGTATTTTTATATTCAGCTCACATACAACAACTGGCCAGTGACTCAAAGTGGAACCCAGTAACAGTGATACTAAGCTTCAGAGAAACCAGCTTTCAACACTTTGTCATGTTTCTTTATTTAAACCCTAATCTAATTCACACACCAGCAAAGAGAAAAAAAAAAGAGTAAAGAAAATTAAAGTAACCAAAATAAAAAGATTATGGTGACCTTAATATCATCATCTGCTTCAACACCAAAGATATCTTTTGATTTCACCAAGAACAATGTCCCTGTCTCTTCTCCTTCTTACTTGATAAGCAAGGAAGATGCTGTTGTCACAACAAAGAAGCTCATGGAACCCTCCAAAACCCTAACCATGAACACCAACCCTAAAGATGATCAAGAGATTGGGGATGAGAAGAAAATGGTGAAGAAGAAAGCTACTGAAGATCCAGAGATTGGTGTGTTTGGAGCTGAGAAGTACTTCAGTGGAGACATGGATTCAGACCAGAGTTCTAGTGTTTTGTCTCTGACAAACCCTGAAGTTGAGAGATTCGTGGTTGAACTGAAGCAGACCGAGAAGAAATCTACTGGAACGCCAAGTGTCTGTACTGAATCAAGCTGGAATAGTCAGAGCATGTTGCTTAAGAACAAACTGGTGAATAGCTGCAACGGTTCCGTGCAGGAGAAGAAAGCTAATAGTGGTCAGACTCAAAACAACAATAAGAAGACATTCCTCTCAAATCTGAGGTGTAAATGCTGTTCTGATGTGAACTCAGTAGATGTCTATGATAAGACCTCCTCTGTTTCCACTGGGAACAAAATCGAAAATCAGATGAGTTCTTCAATGAATCTGAACAAAGAACTGATCAAGATACAGAAGCAAGAAGAGTTGGTACATAGGAAGTCTCCTGAAGTCTTTGGATCTCCTGTAAATATCGAGAAGAAACTTACATTGCCTCCATGGGAATCGAGGAGAAAGGAAGAAGACACAAAGAGTGAAGGGAGTGATTCTAGCTCAGATCTTTTTGAGATTGACAATCTTACAGGTAAACCAAAATCTTTTCTTACAAGGCAAGTAAGTGATTATGCTCCAAGCGAAGTAAGCATAGAGTGGAGTGTGGTGACAGAAAGTGCAGCAGGTTTCTCTGTTATGTCAGAATGTGCAACAAGCCCTGTAAGAAGAAACCGCTCTTCTCTGATTCCTAAGGTCACTACTAATACCAATACCGCTAAGAAACCAAATACAAGCAGAAATGGTGGTTTCTTGTTGAGCTGCAAGAGTTATAAGTCTGTTATGGTTTCTAATGGTTCAGACAGAAGAAGTAACATGAACAAGAACAAGACATCCCCAAGTTATGTTCCAAGATTCCCAATGGAGACTACTAAACCTAAGAGTTTGGAAACAAGAAGAAGGATCAGCAACAGCTCGAATCCTCACACACATCCATCTCCTCTTTACAGCTAGTAGTGCACAACTGTAACAGATTATGTAATGTCTTGTTGTGTTCTTGATCACAATGTGTATACTGATGTCTTTGTCCTCTGAGCATCAATTTATAACCAACTAAGTCTTGGTCTATTGGCTAAAACTCTTGGATCACCTAGAGGGGTTTAAGGGTTGGTTCTCCTGAAAAGTCTACTCTAAAAAAGAGTTGATTTAAAATGGTTTAGACTCACATTAGAGACATTCAGGTACAAAACTTGTCATTAAAAAGAAAAACTTAAAAAGTGACATTTGGTTAGAAAGTTAAGAACACAGATCAGGAATGCAGCAAAATGATTAGACAATTATAAAACAATGGCTCCACCACGTTTTGTTCTTTATAATAGAGAGATAAACGTTTTGTCAATTAGCTTCAAAGCGTTTAATCAAATGTTTGTCAGAAAGAGCTATTAATGAGGAAACTTAAATAATGATAGTGTCATTTTACCTAATATATCCAAAGATCTTGACCCTAAAGGCCATTGTGTGTCTGTGATAAAGGTAAAGCAGACAAAAACCTTAACTGTTTCGTTGAAAATAGGTATGAAGGGATGTGAGAGAAACTTAAGAACCAAAAGGGCCTTACTAAGACAATAAATGCAAAGAAGATGTATGTCTTTGTAGCCAACTCATAATAGGAGAAGTTGAACTTACTCAAACCCAAAGTGATCTTATCCACACTTCACTGAACCTTCCCTAGAGGTAAATATTAAAGAAACTTCATCGATGAAACCACGATGATGATGACCCAAGACATCAAAGCTAATACAGTATGGGTTTGATTAAAACCAAAAACCTAGACAGTTGTTGGTGAAGATAAGTATTGTATCATTCTCAAAAGATATGATCAAGAAAATGATTGAGGAGCCATCAATTATTTTGCTATAATATATTGAAGTAAAAATTTTAAAATCAAGCTATGATCTAACTACTCAGTTTCCATATGTGGAGGAGAAAAGAACAACAAAAGCATGAAGAGATTTTATGTAACACAAAGGAAGGACTTTAAAAAAAAAACTATAAATTTTGTTTTCTTTGGTTGGCCATGCTTCAAAGCGCCCACCTAGTTGTTAAGTGAATAAGACATGTAGGTACGGAGAATCGGATCCCACATGACAAAGAATGTCTGAGAGAAGTTCTTATCTTACTTCCTTCAGAGTTTGTGATGAAACATTCACTTTGTTGAGGTGAAGGCTGTTCCCAAAGAGACACATGAGAAGCAGAAGACTCTTGTATGGTCAATTGAGAGAAGAGTCATGTATGGTCGCAAACTAGTGTGATTGACAATAATTGTATTTCCTTGACCTTATCTTAACTGATACTAATATCTGTAATTACAAGCGTTGATTCATCGGTCTATGCGTATATATGCTTTGTAAGAACAAAAGGATGAAATCTCGTGTTCTTATCAAGGCATGTCTGATATGGTAACGTTGATTAATCTCGGTTTAGTTTGAAACTGCTATTGTAGTTGTTTCTCCGAGGATTAGTATTAGTTTGGGAGTAATTTGTGCCTTAGTTTGAAGTAATTAGCCTAATTCAAGTTCAAAGTAACGAGCCTGGTCCAACATTAATACAATTGCTTGTTCAAGCAAAAGATATATAGTTTGTATAAAATTTGCTTATTACTGAAATCTTATGCAGAGAGAAGGAGATAAAGATCATAGAAATTTTTCTTTTGTCAAAGGATCATGGAATCTAACATAAGAGAAATTGAACTTCAAAATCGCATACTCATTAGTTGGGCCGATGACCCAATATACCAGATATTATATAGATATAAATCCTAGGAAGATGGCCCAGTAGAGCTATACCAACCGTTCAGCCCAACTTCACTCTAACAGTAAAAATTCGAGCATCAAGTTTAAATTATTGAAAGTCGAGGGACCGAAAATTAAACTATAGATTTGGGGGGATGAGCCAGGCCCGTGCAGTAGTGCAACGCATGGGCGACTCGTGAAAACCCAGATAGCAAGCTATCTTAATGGGCTTTCTCCCTCAAAAAATAGAGTTAATATCGTGAGGCCCGATGGACCTCATATCAGATATTAAACTGATAAGAACAGATACTACACTTGATCTTAGCCAAAAGGCCGAGAAAGGTATGATTTGTTAAGACCATCAAGCTTCTCTTATATACACACGCTCTCAGAACGAACGACTCATACTCTACCGATGTGGGACAAATTAAAAGACCTCTTGGATATATATTATATTATTAATTAAATTAATGAGATAATTAACATATTTTCAACAATTGGAGATTAATTAATTTAACTGTAATAAAAAGAAAGAACGATTAGTACACACTCTCAGGATCTTTCCATGGCGGTGAGCTAGAGAGATCTTCGAATCAGGTATTAGTTTTTTCTCTCTTCTCCTTTTCGAATCTGGTGTTTCTTTGCTTCTCGAAACGTTTGTGGATTTGTGCGAGAGAGATTATTACAAATCTGCATCTTGGATCTTGTCTGAAAATTTATGTCTCATTGTATCCTGTAAGATTCCTGTTTTTGTCTGAGTAATTAAGAACGACGAAATCACATGTTTTTATAATGAATTTGGTTGTGAAGCTCAGACATGTTAAATTCTTGATGGTTCTGAATCTTCAGGTGTTTGGTGGTGGTGGTGATAATGTTGCCGGAGAGAAGAAGCACGGTTGCTTCTTCTTCTTCTTACCAGAATAATCCTTCTGGTCAGAATGATAATTCTTTTCTACTTCTTAGAAGAGGAAAGAAATTTGGTAGGATAGGGAAGTTGAAGCTCTCACATTTGTTCTTCTTCTTCGTCTCTCTTTTCTTCTTCTCATGCATCTTCTCTGGACATAGACTACTGTTTCATGGTAAGCTTTAATGTTTAAGAGAACAAGTTAAAGAGAATATTTCATTAATTAATTAAACAACTCTTTTCTTGATTTGGATTTGGTGTAGGTTCTGAGTTCTTACCTCATTCTGAGAGACAGCGTAAGCAACTCTTTTCTTGTGTTGTGGATTTGTGGTAAAGCTATTGTGTTAATTGGATTTTTGATGAAAATGTAGATCACTTGAAAACTCATCTCTTCACGTCATCGGAGCTTGAGATAGGATTGAACTCATCCAACATCCAAAAACCACCAGGAAGCAAGAAGAGAAACAAACGTATATAGATCTTTTTGAGTCTCTTCTACTAGTTTCAGTTTTGTTTCTTGATCTAAAGCTAATTTGTTTTATATATTTGCAGATTTGCCTTGTGAAGTCCCACTTGCTGAATCTGTTAATCACATACTAGAGCCTCAAGAGTACTTAGGTTCCAAGCCCTTTTCTTTAGGCTTTGTAGAGGCAGAGACAGATGATAAGAAACCTAGATTTGGAGGACACCAAACACTCAAGGAAAGAGAGAGGTCTTACTCTGCTATAAACAACCAGACAATTCACTGTGGTTTTGTCAAAGGGTTTCATCAAGGTAGTACTGGATTTGATTTGAGCGAAAAGGATAGAGCCTACATGAAGAACTGTGTAGTCTCTGTGTCTTCTTGCATCTTCGGAAGCTCTGATTTTCTAAGAAGACCTGCAAGCAAAAAGGTACGTACATGCATTAGATTAACTATCTATTTACACATAGTGAGCAGCTCTCATTTGCTGTGTATGTTTCCTTCAGATCAGTGAATTCTCAAAGCGAAATGTTTGTTTTGTGATGTTCGTTGATGAGCAAACACTATCAAAACTAGCTAGTGAAGGGCATGTTCCTGACAAGCAAGGGTTTGTTGGTCTGTGGAAAACTGTAGTAGTGAGCAATTTGCCTTACACTGATATGCGGAAGACAGGGAAAGTTCCAAAGTTTCTGTCGCATCGCCTTTTTCCTTCTTCTAGGTGAGGTTAGTTTGACTAGTACTCAAAGCTACTACAATGCTTGATTCTGTGAACCAATCTTCATTACTAGTTTTTGATTTGTTGTTTCTTTCAGATATTCGATTTGGATAGACAGTAAGATGAGACTTACTACAGATCCTATGCTGATTATTGACTTCTTCTTATGGAGAACAAAGTCAGAGTTTGCTATCTCAAACCATTATGACCGTCATTGTGTTTGGGATGAGGTGGTGCAGAACAAACGGTTGAACAAGTATAACCACACTGCCATTGATGAACAGTTTATGTTTTACCGATCTGATGGACTCAAGAAGTTTGACCCTTCAGATCCTAAATCTCCTCTTCCAAGTTGTGAGTAATCAATCATTCATTCATTCACTTCTCTCTGACTCTGTTTGTGTGTGTTTTGTTGATGTTTGTGTGTGTTTTGTTGTTAGATGTGCCTGAAGGTTCATTTATTGTGAGGGCTCATACACCAATGTCAAACCTCTTCACATGTCTTTGGTTCAATGAAGTTGATCGGTTTACGTCGCGAGATCAGTTGAGTTTTGCATATACATACCTTAAACTTCAGAGACTCAATCCAGATAGACCGTTACGCCTAAACATGTTCAAGGTAACATAAATTGAGATTGATCATCTGTTTCATTTCATGAGAAAGTAAACGATGAAAAGAATGTTCCAACTTGGTTTTTATTTTCAGGATTGTGAGCGTCGAGCATTGACTAAACTCTTCCACCATCGCGTAGTCTCAACACCTCCTTCACCTCCTGCTTGATTGATTAATTGAAGATAGTTTTCTACATATGTTTGTGATCATAAACTATTAATATTACCAAATATTTGTCTACTTTTAGCCTCTTTTCTACTTTTAGTCTAGCTTTGAAGGAGATGAAACATGGATTTAATTGCAATTGTGAATGAGCCAAGATAGATCTTGTTGATTTTACTAACAGTTGCTACTTACGGTTTATCCATAATCGTAGCAAAGGTCTATCTGTATACATCAGTGCTTACTGTTCTTGGCAGGTATAAGACTTTAAGGATGGAATGATCAATGAGCTTAAGAAATTAGTGATCTAATTTGCACTTAACTTTTAGATTGAAAACAAAGAAATATTCAACACCATAAGTTGGCCATTGTAAATTTTGTTTCTTTCTTTTTGCTGTTTTGGGATGATTGAAAATGTTTTTCTTGTTTTAAGCCAAACCCTCAAGGTTCTACTGTTTTCCTTGATGATAATCACAACAGTTTCAATCCCTATAATGTGTGCAATAACTTGAACAACTTTAGGAATCAATGCGTAATTGAACTTGTAGTTTTGTTAAATTGTTTTCCTTGTATTAAATAGAATTAGACCGAACCATACTAAGGTTGTTTTCTAATCAAAACTGAAACGTATTCGTTCAATTATTTTACGGAGAGTCATATAATCAAAGTTTGCTCGTAAGTTATGTTTAGCTAAAGCTAGTTTGGCTAACCTACGTTGACAAACAAAAATGTTTGTTTAAGCTATTTGAGTGATAAATACGATAATGACGCGAAAGTTAACAACGATGGGGATGTAGCTCAGATGGTAGAGCGCTCGCTTAGCATGCGAGAGGTACGGGGATCGATACCCCGCATCTCCAATTTTCTTTTACCATAAACTTATTTTATGAACGGGCTTGTTGACCCCTACTTGAATCACAACTCTCTTTTTTCCATGTATCTTTTCTTAGTTTAAAGTTTAAAAAGGCTAGTTGTCTGACCAACTATCGTCAGATAACTTATAGATCACACATTTTTCAGATGTTCAAAAGGAAAAAAAGCTTAGATCAAACATATATAAAAAAACAACTCTTGCGTTCACAACCTCAGATTCATATCTGCAAACTTAGGCTCTAAAGCGTATTTGTTCTAAACGTGCCAGAATCTGTAGATCCTCACAAATTTAACAACATTGCGACACTATATAGAACCCTTGTCATGAACTCCTCCTTAAGTCTCACAAATCTCTGTTGGACCGACGCTTGCAGGTACTGAGACTACCACTTTCTTCTTTAAAGGGTTGAGTCGACACATCAGACAAAGCAGGGAGCCTAGAAACACTACCTTTGCCTTTTCTAGCATTTGGACCAATCACTTCGATCATATATCTCCACCCATCAATCGGTCTCCTCCTGCTGAATATGTGCTGCTTTATAAAACTAGCTATCTGCACGCATCAAAGACATTTTCAAGAACACAGAGAATAGTAAGAGTGTCCATCTTCTATCATCAAAGATAAGTATATCCATTAACATCGAATTAAGCTATGTTTTGCAGTGGTGTGATAACACATTTTGATGAATCAAATTAAGGATTTCTTTTTTTGAGGGTGGTACCTGAAATTTGCAAAAGGAAATACGGCGATCGAATTCTTGGAGAAGAATGTCTTCTTCTCTTTGTGACATTTCCCAGAGATTCCCATCTTGTTCCTTTGTTGTTGATTCCCAACCATCAGGCTTGTTTTTCAGTTCAGATCCACTCGAGACTTCTAATTTGTCGAAATCATGGTCTACCGAGTCGAAAATCCTGGGTTTTCACCAAGAAAATATCAAAAAACCACCAAGAAGCACACTGATCTTCAAACACATTCATACATATATAAACATAACAAGCACGTGAAGATATTCAAAACACCAAGAAATCCACATAACAATGTCTACAATGTTCTTTAGTTAAACTCAATTCACTAAATAAACTCAATGTTCACGTCTTTACCTAAACCTCTAAATCACTAGGACTCGATTCCTGAAAGCAATCCATGTATGCTGCTAGATGAACATGCTTCAATCACAATCTTGTTCAGGAGCTTTAGCTAAACCTAAATCACCACGCCTCAATTCCTCAGAGCAATCCCTATATGCTAAGATGAACATGCTTCACAATGTGCACAAGCCAATCACAATCTTGTTCAGATCTTTAGCTAAACCTAAATCACCAGGACTCGATTCCTAAGAACAATCTCTGTAAGTTGAATCTCAACAAAATCACCGGCTGGTTTCATGAATTAGCTAAATCACAGACCTAGTAAGTGAAGATGATGCAAGATAACAAACCATAGTATTGTGCCATCTTCACTTTACTTACTTTGTCTGTGATTTAGCTAATTCATGAAACAACACTATGCTTTGTCTGAGATTCAACATACAGAGCTTTAGGTAAAACCCTTAATCAGCAGGACTCCTATCCCCATACCAAATCTATGTATACTAAATGAACATGCTCTTCACATTGTGCACAAGCAAACCACAATCTTGTCCATACCTAAACCTAAAGCACCAGGACTCAAATCCTCATTGCAATCTCTACAACACACTAGATGGACATGCTTCACACAGTGTGCACAGGCAAATCACAACCTGGTCCAATGCTTTAACTAAACCTAAATCACCAGACTCGAATCCACATAACAATCTCTACAATGCACTAAATAAACATGCTCTTGTGCACAAACAAGTCACAATCTTGTTCAAGCCTTTAACCAAAGCATTAGGACTCAAAAAAAGACAGAGAAGCCTTACTCAGAGCAGCTATCAAGAAGCCTATCAATATCATCACCACCACCACCAGAATCACCCAACTTAGCTTCCTCCAACTTCTCAATCTCCTTAACCCACAGAGACGCATGAACTCTCTGCTTCCTCAACCTATAATCTTTCTTCATCGTCTCCACGCTATACAACGACTCTCCTCCTCCAATCTCTTTCTTCTCCTCTTCCTTTTTCCCGCTCTTCCCTCTCCTCTCGTCCCAATGCTCCTTCATATCCTCCACAAACGCCTTCCCCTCCACATCGATCTCCTCCTCGGTGGAAGGGAAGTTCACGTCATTCTCCCACGGCGCTCGCGTCTTGTCGGTGAGATCGTCTGGGAGCCAAGCTGATTCCCACGCGTCGTTCCATTTGTCTTCGTCGTTTCGAGGGGGCTTTGTGGACATGAAATTGGTGAGAATCGAGGGGAGGGTATGCGGAGCCCTAGAAGAAGGGATTGTGTGTGTGATCGATCGTGCTATGCGATGAAGAGAGTTCATCTTCTAGAAGATGGTGAAGCTATTCCTTCTCTACTGAGCGATGATGGCGTTTTGATAATCATTTTTGCTGAGTGGAGAAGAGAGAAGCTTAAACCCTAGAAGATGGGCTTTTACTATATTGGTTGGGTGATAAATGGGCTTTTCTTGAAACATGTTAACTTAGCCGCTAGTAGTTTTAACGTTTGCATTAGGCCTGCGACTTTAAACCGAACCGAGCCGAACCGAAATTTCGGTTTTCGGTTCGGTTTCGGTTTTGAATTCGGTTTAGTTTGGTATGATTCTGTAAAGTAATTTGGTTTTTGGTTCGGCTTTTGATTTTCAAAAAAAAAAATTAAAAAAATCGAAAAAACCAAAAGTATCCGAAAATCAAATCGAAAAAATTGAAAATATCCAAACTTAACCAAAATAACCGTAAATATCCACTTTATGGAAAATTATACCGAAATTAACTGAAAACCAACAAAATCGGTTATTTTCGAAAATAATTTTGAAAACCAAAATTAACCGATAACCAAACTGAAATTTAATTCGGTTAATTTCAGAATATGTTTCAAAAATTGTATCAGACAAGGTGACCCTCTATCACCTTATCTATTTATACTTTGTGCTGAAGCTTTTGTCACATCTCATGAATCGAGAATTTGAACAAAGGAAACTCTTGGGGGTGAAGATAGTAGTTCGAGCTCCAGCGGTGAATCATTTGTTATTTTTTGACGATTCCTCATTCTTCACGTTAGCAAATAAGAGATCAGCCATCACATTAAAGAAGATTCCCAGCCTCTATGAACAAGTCTCTGGCCAAGCTATAAACCTAAGGAAGTCTTCAATTACCTTTGGTAGTAAAGTAGACCCTGGTGTTCAGACCTTGATGCGGAACATTCTACAGATTCATAATGTGGATGGTATTGGAAAATACCTTGGATTGCCGAAATAATTTGGTAATAAGAAAAGTGATATGCTTGCATATATAACAGATAAAGTTCGAGCAGTGACACAAGGGTGGAAACAGAGATATCTCTCTCATGGAGGTAAGGAGATTATGCTAAAAGCAGTGGTCCTTGCTATACCCATTTTCACCATGAACGTTTTTCGACTACCAAAAGAAATATGTGAAGAAATTAACAGAATTATGGCACGATTCTGGTGGGGATCAGGAGACAAGACATGGTTACATTGGTATGCTTGGAAACGTGTTTGTAAACCGAAGAAAGAAGGGGGTTTAGGATTCAGAGATATTGAATGCTTTAATCAAGCATTGTTGGGTAAACAAGTATGGCGTATACTTCAAGCTCCAACCTGCTTAATGGCTAGGATATTAAAAGCTAGATACTTTCCTGATAGCAGTATCTTAGCAGCTACTCCAAAGAAACACTCATCGTATGCATGGAAATCTCTTTTATATGGAAAGGATCTAGTTGCTAAAGGAATGAGAGTTGAAGTAGGAAATGGTACAACAAAAAAAATGTGGCTAGATCCTTGGATTCCTGATCATACTGCAGGTCCACCACGTTCCTTAAATGGTATCCTCGTAGATGAGACTGCTGCTGATTATATGGATGAAGACATGAATGGAAGGAACATCAGAAAACTTGAAGTTGTGGTTGTACGAGAAGATATTGACAAGATACTTAAGATAAAGTTGAGTTCGAAAGCGGATTTGGATCTTCTAGGATGGAACTATAATGAAGATGGTATCTATACAGTAAAATCAGGATATTGGTTGAGTACACACCTTCCTGATCAAGTACATGTATTTTCAACTTATGGAGTAGTTCAGATAAAAGAGAAAATATGGACAAACGGAAGTACCGGCAAAGCTAAAACACTTCCTCTGGAGAACTCTTTCTCGGGCTTTACCTACATGTACTAATCTACAAAGGAGGCATATTATAGTAGACTCTCAATGTATACGTTATTGCCAACATGTAGAATCAGAGAAACATTTATTGTTTGACTACTTTTATGCTAAACAAGTCTGGAGGGGTTCAGGAATCTCAAATGACATCATTAATAGCCACACGACAACACTGGATGAAAAGATAGTTGCATGTTTACAGATAGCAATATCTAAAAGCTTATCACATTTTCAAGACTTACCAATATGGATTCTCTGGAGCTTATGGAAAGGCCAAAACAACCTGATTTTTCAGCAAAGAGCATCGCTTGGAGGAATATAATACAACAGGCAAGAACAAATGCAAATGAATGGAGAACACATGGGTCAACACAATATTGCATCAAATCGACAACATCAGGTGAATTCTCAAAAGTCTTGGAGAAGACCACCATATAATTGGATAAAGTGCAATATTGATGGCTCTTTTCTAAATTCAGAATCCGAGTAAAATTGGATGGATTTTGCGTGACTCAAATGGAGTATACAAAGGTGCGGGGCAAGCTATTGGAAATAGAGTTCAAAATGCTTATGAATGTGAATTACATGCACTAATTATCAGTATGCAATACTGCTGGAATAAAGGGTACAAAAAGGTTATATTTGAGAGTGACTGTCGGAAGAAGATAGTTATTTTAAACAACAAGTCAATACATTTTCATGGATATAACTGAATATATGATATTATTTGGTGGAGTAAACAATTTGAAGACATCAAGTTCAAGTGGATCTCAAGAGAAGGAAACAAAGTCGCGGATGCTTTGGCGAAATGTTTTTCAAAAAATAATCAATCATATATCTTTCTTTTTTATGTACCAAGCTCACTTACTTCTCTGTTACATCAATACTATATGTTAACTATTAACTAATAAAATCTGGAAGTTATAAAAAAAAATAAAAAACTACAATTGGGTTTGTAATGGGCTTACGCAGTTTGATTCTTTTTTTGGGGAAAAAATTTTGAGCTAATTCGGGCTTTACAGGTCCATTCTTTAAACGATGCCGTTCCATTTCTAAAAACGGACTTATATTTTGGTGTCGGTGAGTTTCGTCCGCTTTTTCTTTAAACGGAAGCAAACGGTTTAGAACCGTACAAATCAAATCAACGGTGATGACTACTCTAATCCCAAGATTGACTACGACCGGTTGATACTAAAAGACCATAGCAGACGAAATCTCAACCGTCCATTTACAAATCAACGGCTCTCGTAAAAAAAAAGAATCTACTTTCGCAACTCCGCGTTATCAGAAAAAACCGATGAAAATCGAATTCCATAAAAGATTCCACCCGCTCGAAATAGACTGTTCGCTAGATCTCGTCTCAGATTCTTTCTCCCTAAGAGCTAATAGATCTTTGATTTAGCGGTTAATGAGAGATCTGTAGTTATGGCGGGGAAGAGTGATCAATCGGTGACGATCTCGGTGCCGTATAGGAATTTGAGGAAGGATGTTGAGGTTGAGATGGTGACGAATCATCCAAACGAAAACGATTCTTCTTCTTATTCCGTCTCTCCGGGGAATCATGTTGATGGAGAATTGAGGAATTGTAGGTTAATGACGTTGGTGCTTAGCTGTACGGTGGCTGCGGGTGTTCAATTTGGATGGGCATTGCAACTCTCTCTTCTCACGCCTTATATTCAGGTACTGGTCTACATTCGAGGCTGTTAGATTGTATACGAAGAAGATGAGTACTTTGTAGGTGATAACAATGAAGTCTAAAGAGTTAGGTGGATTGTTTTATTGACTCTTATATGACAATTTTGAATTGGATTTAAATAATGGTTACGACGCTTTCATGAAACTATATGGTATCAAAGGCGTATATAAACAGCTTTATTTGACATCATGGTACTAGAAACTGTAACAGTCTCTTTAGCGCCTTTCGGAACTAGTTTATATTCAGAATGTTTATCATAAGACATCTGAAGTTATTTTCGTACTGGTCGTTTATGCATCAGGTGGGTAGATATGGAACTTGTTGTTGTTGCTGTTGCTGATGAACCTTATGAGTTTTTTTTTATTTTATCTAACAGTGTTGCATGATTGGTGCAGACTCTTGGAATTTCGCACGCTTTTTCTTCATTTATCTGGCTATGCGGCCCTATTACAGGCCTAGTGGTAAGTTTGCATTCATATTTTATTTCCTTTTTATTCTCTTAGCAAGTGTATGAATTTTCTCATAAGTAAATTCAGTGATGATCTGCGCATTTATCTCTCACTAGACTAATAGAGTGTTAAAAGTTTATTTTTATATGATCTCAGAAACTATTTTCTTATGTGGCCATGTGGGCATACGTTTTTCTGTTGCATGTTGTTGGTACTTATTTGTTTGTTGGTTTATAGGTCCAGCCTTGTGTTGGTATTTGGAGTGATAAATGTACTTCTAAGTATGGAAGACGACGACCGTTTATTCTCGTGGGATCACTCATGATCTCAATAGCAGTAAGGGGAAAATTGAAGATATGATTTATGTTTTTGTTTTTCTTTAAGGTATAGTTGGCTAAGTTGTGTGTTATAAAAGCTAAACAAATACTTGCAATTTAGGTGATAATAATCGGGTTTTCTGCAGACATTGGGTATCTGTTGGGAGATACGAAGGAACATTGCAGGTTGCTCTCCTACTCCCCTGCTTATGGTGTATTTTTAGGGATTTTTCTTTATAAATTTGAAGTAATTGACGACTTGATGTGTATGTGTAAATGCAGTACTTTCAAAGGCACACGGACCAGGGCAGCTTTTGTCTTTATCATTGGATTTTGGCTGTTGGATCTAGCAAACAACACAGTACAGGTTCGCATCTAATCCGCTAGATTAAATGATGTAATCCTTACCGAGGATATCGAGGAATGATATCTTCTACTTTTGTTTCAGGGACCTGCTCGTGCTCTCCTAGCTGATCTATCAGGTAATGATAAAATCCATCCATACACTTAACAGATTAAAAATTATATTGAAAATCCGGAACTAGATTGAATTTGCCGTGTTCTAATTCCTTAGAAAAATACTTATGACATTCCCCTCGCTGTCCTTAGGTCCTGATCAGCGGAATACTGCAAACGCTGTGTTCTGCTTGTGGATGGCTATTGGGAATATCCTTGGGTTTTCTGCTGGTGCTAGCGGACAATGGCAAAAGTAATCCTCGAGATTTTCATTTCAAAAATTTGTATTCTGTTTCCTCTTTGCAATTTTGCATATTTTCGCCAGTTTTAAATGATTTCGGCAATTTCACTGAACAGATGGTTCCCATTCCTAACCAGTAGAGCATGTTGCGCAGCATGTGGAAATCTTAAAGCAGCTTTTCTTCTTGCAGTGGTAATTTTCTGACACATCTAAGTTTTTCACAAATGCAATGGATTTGTTTGGTCTTTACCAAACTTGTCATGTTTATATCTTGGGATCACTAGTCACAACTCAAGATACTCCATAGAATATCTGTGGTTTGGGAGGTGATTTTTGAAAGTTCTAAAATTTCATCCATATTGATCCACGTAGGGGATTTTGTTCTATATTTTTTTAAGAGCTGTCATTTTTTCAGGTGTTTCTTACTATATGCACTCTTGTCACAATCTATTTTGCTGAAGAGATCCCTTTGGTAAGCAATAAGCCCAGCCGCATACAGGATTCTGCACCTTTGCTGGATGATCTCCAGCTTAAAGGCACTGAGCACTCAAAATCAAATAATGGTACTGCCAATGGGATCAAGTATGTGAGAGTGGAGCGTGATATGGATGTACAGCTTGGAAAGTCAAACAATGATCATCAAGACGAGACCTATATTGATGGCCCTGGATCTGTTTTAGTAAATTTGCTAACCAGTTTAAGGCATTTGCCACCTGCTATGCACTCAGTTCTTATCGTCATGGCTCTTACATGGGTGAGTACCAAAGAAAGCATTATATCAGATTATCAACTTTGCGATACTGTCTCCTGTTCTTAGATCCTTTTATATTTTGATTGTTGCCCTCTACCTTGCAGTTATCGTGGTTCCCCTTCTTTCTGTTTGATACAGATTGGATGGGAAGAGAAGTTTACCATGGTGATCCAGTGGGAAAGAGTGTGCTCGTGGAACTTTATGGCCAAGGTGTCCGGGAAGGTGCATTTGGCTTGCTACTAAACTCTGTAAGAAACTATTAACATGTTTATTAACAGATTCTAAACTGCTCTGCCCACTTCAATCACTCGCTCGTTATTGAATTTTCTGTTTCCTGGTGTCCATAGGTTGTTCTTGGGATCAGCTCATTCTTGATTGAACCAATGTGTCAGCGAATGGGTGCACGAGCTGTATGGGGTCTGAGTAATTTCACTGTGTTTGCCTGCATGGCAGGAACAGCTGTCATTAGCTTGATGTCTCTCAGGGATAACTCTAATGGAAACGAACACATTCTACCTAACGAAACAACAAGAACCGCAGCTGTAATCGTCTTTGCACTCCTTGGCTTCCCTCTAGCTGTACGTGTTTTGTTTAAACCTAAATCCTCTTTTGTATTATTGTTGCAAACATTCTTAAATATGTGATGATAAAACCATCATTTTCTCTCTTGTGCAGATCACATACAGTGTCCCTTTCTCTGTCACAGCAGAAGTCACTGCTGATTCAGGTGGCGGTCAAGGTCTGTGAAAAGATTCAACCATTCATAGCTTTGTGCTTAAGTCTTATGTTTTCAGAATCCCAAATCGTTTCATCACTTTGTTTTGTTCTCAATGCAGGTTTGGCTATAGGAGTGTTGAATCTTGCAATTGTTATTCCCCAGGCAAGTTCTCAAATTCATTATCATTGTTGTTTCATGCTGCTTAAGTCGTGTAATAAGTGGCTGAGAGTTATAGTTTTGGTATGTAAAACAGATGATAGTATCGCTTGGAGCGGGTCCATGGGATGCATTGTTCGGAGGAGGAAACTTACCAGCATTTGTTATGGCGTCTGTTGCTGCTTTTGCTGCCGGAGTTATTGCTTTGCGCAGCCTTCCGACACTATCTAGTTCGTTCAAGTCTATAGGTTTTCATATCGGGTAAAGTCTTTACAAGGACGAGTCAGTCTTTTTCAGGCGATATAGTCTTAAAATTCAGATTTAGATGCATTCGATTCTTTTATTTGGCCATGTTCGGCGTTTATGTATGTAGACGTTTTTGTATATATTGTGTTATAGTTAATGTGAAGACAACAATGTGACTTTAAATCTACAAATACCCCTTGTAACTTGAAAGGTTTAATTTTGTTTACTACGTTGTCTTGAGTCACTCCAAAAGAGTGTTCCCTTCCCCTTAAGATAAAAACTCCAGAATTCAGCCTCTAAATCAATAAAATAATTAGCACTTAATAATATTGTTACCAAACATCAACTAGATTGTCTTTTATAAGAATATCTCCAATATAAAATTCTATTTTTTCATCTAAAATAAAATAAAATATAGATTTAAAATGTTTTAACTGTATTCTATTTCTTATTTTATAATGGTATAGTGAACCAACAAAAAAATAGATTATTTTATTTATAAAGTAAATTATGAAATGAGAAATAGAATTTGGGTTAGAGTGCATTTTACTCCATATTTATTTTTACTTCATTTTAGAATAAAAAAATGAGCTGGATTAGAGATACCCTAAAACATTCAGGTAATGAATGGGAGCCTCGGTTTTCACTGTAGCGGGGCGGGATTGATTAATTACGCACTTGTGTCACCAATCAATCGCATTAGTAAAGTGTTGTGCGTAATTGAATTTTTTAAATAGAAAACAAAAGTACAAGTGCGGTATTTGACTTTGTGAAGGAAAATGTAAAAACCGCACACGACAGTAATTCCACTAGTTAAAGATAGCGTTACATAGAGACGAAGTGCGGTTTCTAAATAATTTGTATTTTAACGATAAAAGATAAAATAGGTAAAATAGTATAACATACGTTTTGTATATAAAATTCTGCAATTATATGTTTATGATAAAATAGAAGGCATATAATGATTTAAAACTTTTCTTTAAACTAATAGATTTTAGCTTTTTGGTGGAGTTTTGTAAATGTGATAAACATGTGTATATGTTAAATAATTACATTATTTGCAAAACTATATAATTAATATAATAAAAATGTTAATAATTGTATTAGTATATTTACTTAACCTTAATAAATGTTAAATAAATTTACAAGTTATATAAAAATATTTCAGAAATATTTTACATTATTTTATAGTATTATTTTTATCTCAAAACCGCACTACTCTTTTATCAAAACCGCGCTACTTTTTCAACCAAATCCGCATTTGTTCCGCAAACCGCATGAACCGCAGTTAGACCGCACCACATTCAAATTCCGCACCGCTTCTATTATCAAAACCGCGGTCACCATTCGGACCCTCAATATACTAGTATATCCAATCTAATGACCTCCTTCTTAACATTGTACATAGTTTAATTTGATATGATAGAAAACAAAAACATTTAAAAAGAAAGAACCTACAAAATCAAAACTAGTTTCACCTATATGTACTATAGTCATAACCAAAAAAATATCTCCAATAATGAAACAAAAATAAACCAAACAAAAGATACATTGGTGTTTGGTCTATACACTATCATCAATTTACGTAGACAATGTGTCCAGAAATAATAAATGACCATATAGCGTGGGTTGTTGTGACACCCACTTCAATAAAACAAACAAAACATTGAATGCCTTAATTTCATCTTCTTTAAAACCCCTTACCCATAGTCTCTTTAATTCATCCTTATTCATCATCTACAATCTCTCTCTTCTTTTCTCTCTCTATTAGAAGACTGAAAGATGGTCAAGGGAAGCGGCAGTGCATCATGGTCGACTCGAACCATAGTGGCTTTGATGGTGGTCTCAGTGTTGGTGCTTCAAGCTGCCTACGTTCATGCTGCGACTTACACAGTAGGTGAATCAAACGGCTGGACATTTAACGCTGTGGGTTGGCCCAAAGGCAAACAATTTAAAGCCAATGACGTTTTAGGTATACACACTTTCACATATACTTTAATTAAGCTTTTACAAGATTCTACTATATTGTTACACATATATAGGCCACAAGCACTTAAGTTTTGACAATCTTAATACCCACAGCTATTGCCGGATCTAGATATGTGTAAAGTATACTAGCAGTCTGCAAACATTTTCAAGAGTTTACAAAATTTGATATATATACTGTCTTATTTTTCAAGTTTAAAGCAGAAGTAATTAACTACTGGAAATGTTTAATTTGAAGATAATGATACTGTTTACACATGTAAGTTTCCTTTGGGTTTCACCTTGAGTGATGAGTTGAAAATGTTTCCCCATTAAGATTGAAATGTACCCTGTTTATTATTATCAGTGGTTAACATATAGTGAGCGGTGTACGTAATCTTTGTATATAATTTTAAACTCACATATCAAACCCATTTACACAAGTAAATTTTTTGTCAATATTCTCACCATGGTCCATGCACAAACTAAATAGTGTTTAGCGTTATTACCTTTTCTTTATTACAATTTAACTTCTTTACTTTAGTAACGAAAATTCTTAATAGTTTCAAAAAGTTCTTATTAGTTCCAACTATTCATTATATATTTTATGAATAAATATATGGAAGAGCCGTAGAGTAAACAATAATTTATACAAGTCAAAATTTAAAATTTGTTGCAGTTTTTAACTATGATCCGAGGAGGCACAACGTGGTCGTGGTAAACAGTGGAGGGTACAACAATTGCAAAACGCCTGCAGGTGCAAAAACATACACTTCAGGCCATGATCATGTTATTTTGTCTAAAGGGCAAAACTTCTTCATCTGCAACTTTCCAGGCCATTGCGAAGCCGCTATGAAAATCTCAGTCACTGCTGTTTGATATTGATCGATCATGCAACTGAGATAGTACTGTGATCTCTACTTTGTTACGTGCTTAAGAAAATTTATAAAGTATCCAGTAAAATTTGCATCTTAGTTGTTGTTGTGAGTTGTTGTATTTCCATTTGTTTTCAGTGTTGTTTAGTTGTTATTTTTGTTTTCTCTATGTGTTTTTAAAAATTGTGTCAAAGCCAAAGAGCGATGATAAATCTTAATATGTTTAGCAAAAGAACGTCTGCGCCTTTTAATAAATTAACCTGCAAAACATATAATGTTTCTTGTATCTGTATGGATCCATAGTTAGCTTAATAGTTTGGAGAATCCTCGGTCTGTAAGACTTCTTTTATATATGTGAAATATATTGCTGAAGATAATATAGAAACCAAATAAAATGAAAAGGATATGAAAAAATATCCAAACAGAAGAAAAGCTAAATGTATTTTGTAACCATCTCTGTTTTTTTATGTGCTATCTGTAAGTGCATATTGTGGCTAATCTATATGTTTATGTGCATGTATAGTACGTATGAGCATAAAGTAAAGAACACATAGAGATTTGTTAACGAGGTTCGTTTCCTACATCCCCGGGACCACGTCCAGAAACCATTCACTAGAAAAGGCCGCAACCTACAATTGCTATATGGTATCTAGCACATACTTGTGCCTACCACTCTTATCTAGTTTACAATGGTTAGAGCAACTACTACTCAATGTTCTTATGAAGAGCATAGTTCTCTACAACTAAACCACCAACAGATCTCACCATCTGTCTGGTGGGACGACGCCACACACCTGTGTGCCTCTCTCAAAAATACTCTGGGCGCGCATCTTTTTCTTTGACGGCCTCCTGGTATTTATGTGATTACTAAACCCTACACCTTAGGGTTTCTAAGCAATCTTTCATTTTTCTTCTCTTAAGAATAAGGAAGTTCTTCCTCATCTTAAATATACCATTTAAGATGTTTACTTAATTCAGCAGCCATGTCCTGGCTTGTATAAGTCGAACCTATAATGTCCACTTATATATTTCTGCAGTCGCCTGACAGCTTAGCTTCTTGAATGACTTCTTGTACCACTTCTTGCACCACTTCTTGTATTACTTCGGGATAAGCACATGAAACACTACAAACGTATGCTATATCTTCAAGACATGTTTTAGTACTTCTCAAACCAGTCAGCATTACATCTTCAATCTCTCCCTTGATGACTGCGTAGTAGAAATCAAGCATCTTCTCAAACTAACCACCTTCTCAAACTAACCACCTTCTCAAACTAGTCAACACAACACTAACAATCTCTCCCTTGGTGACTAAGTTTTAGAATCCAAGTACAGACACTCAATGCTTCTCAGTACATCATCTGGAATTGCCAATAACAACACTCTTCAATATCTCTCCCTTTTTAATTTAGTTTGATACTCAAGCATAGGTTCTTAGCTGCACGTATAACCAACATAGCAGACCACATTATTACCTTCTTTGACATCCAACCAGTCTCGTGCATCAGATCCAAGTATTACTCAAAACCAAACACATGCTTCAATTTATATCCTCAGAATCAAACGCCAAAACCTCTCCCTTGATCTTAGCTGCAACCCACTTTCAAGGTAACTATGTGTTTAGCTTTATTTCCCTCACGTGCATATTCCTCTCAGTATGCACATCATATGTAGTATCCACATCAGATGTATCCTTCTCTTCTCTCCCTGCTTGAGTGCACAACTAAGTTAAAACACACACAAGTTGTTGAAGCTTATCACATCATCTCTGATCAGATTGATAAATCCAACCTAATGTCTTTGTCTCTTCCTACGAAGCGTCTCCGATCATAACTGAGCTTTTTAAAACTTCATCTTGCTTCTTATCATTCTTTGTTCATGTTAAGGTGTAACTTATTCCATGAAGTGACATGAATCATAGATGCTTCAAACTCCAAGACTTCATACCATCGCTTATCAACCTTGTCTAGGACTACCATGATTCTGCTTTTGAACTATTAACCCCCAATAGTCTCATCCTTAAATTCTGATATGACTTGAGGTAATAAGATCGAGTCACTGCATCTCTTGTTATCCTTGCTGTACACCTTGAATCACCCCCTGATAAAGTCTATGATCCTTACATTCTCTGACGTAAGATCTGACACAACCGTTGATAAGAGGTTTGTGCTATTATGTTCTCTGCAACTATTTCCAAGAAATGACCTTCTGCAATCATCTTTCTTGATCTGGATTCTTTCCACTTGATTCACCCGAAATAGTATTATGAGACCTGCAGCTTTCTTTAACATATATAGAACCAGTGTACTCTCCCTTAAGGTTAGCTTGAGTAGTTATGTCTTCGGTACATCTTTTATCAGCTTCTATCTCATGTACACCTCGGCTCAGCCAGAGTTTCAATATAATGCCAAGATGCTGATGAAATTCTCATTTGAAACCACTTATATCTTGATTCTTCTACATTTTAGGCTCATAATATGCAGGAGGTTTCATTTGAGCAGCTTTTCAACATGTTGTCTTGCTACCATACATTACTGGTTCATGATATTCTTCATGGTTGTCGGCATGCCCTCCTAGATAGCCTCTGCAAAATGTGCATCCAGAACCAATTCCAGTGCCCTATCAGCTTCGTCACTGAGTTCTTATATTACTTGACTTAATACAGCTCTTTATATCTCAACTCCATTGCTTGTTTATGAAACAATGCCTTCAACATTCCCAGCCTCACTGATACTTCCACATCAGACACTCAACCCTGCAGATATAATTACCATCACCACTGAACTCGTTATTAACTATATCAAAGATACTCACTTTCCTTAAGTCTCTTCTCAATATCTATCACACTTAATGTATAGGAATATCTTAGCTTGCTTACCACTCTTACTCGTGTATATATTGTAACCTTCACATATCAATGAGATCATCCATTCATCATTTCCCTTATATGGTATCAGAGCTATAGATCTAGACCTAAAAAGAAAAAAAAAAACAGTTCCGCCTCCCCCAATACCCCTTCTTCGCCTCCTCTTCCTCTCATCACTTCATCGATGACCACCAACAATGACAACAACACTCCCACCGTGACAAGAAACATTGACACTCTTGTCACAGATCAAGGAACCCTCCTCAGCATCAACACATCCAACATCACCAAGCTTAATGCTTCCAATTACCTCATGTGGAGCCGTCAAGTTCATGCCCTCCTTGATGGCTATGACTTATCATCATACCTTGACGAATCCAAGCCAACCCCACCTCCAGTTCTCACTGTCGATGGTAAAGACACACCCAATCCAGCGTTCTTGTTCAACAATCGTCAAGACAAGCTCATATATAGTGCCATTCTCGGTGCTATATCTCAATCCATCCAACCCCTCCTCTCAAAAGCCAACACTGCTGCTGAGATCTGGACCGTTCTCGCCTCCACCTATGCAAAACCAAGCCGCGGTCATATCAAACAAGTCCACAACCAATTGAAAAATTGGAAGAAAGGTACAAAGACAATCTCAGAATACCTTCAGGGTATATCAACACGTGTGGATCAACTTGCCTTGCTTGGCAAGGTGCTTGATCTGGAAGATCAACTCGAGTTTGCTCTAGATGGATTACCTGAAGATTACAAACAGGTGGTGGATCAGATCGAGAGCCGTGACACACCACCAACGTTCATTGAGCTTCATGAGAAGCTCTTGAATCATGAAGCCAAACTCCTCTCTGTGCAAGGCTCTCCGTCCTTCCCGGTCACTGCAAATGTGATCACCAACAACTACAGGCCCTCACAGAAGCACAACTACAACCGTAATCCACAGTGGCAAACTCCCAACCAACACAACCCCACCGGTCCACGTTCACCACGTCCATATCTTGGAAGGTGCCAAATCTGTGGAATCCAAGGCCACAGCGCTCGTCGTTGTCACCAGCTAGCTCAACACACAGGTCTTCTTCCGACACCTAGAGCAACACGACCTAGAGCGAACTTTGCATCTCCATCTTCCAACCCATGGCTGCTTGACTCTGGTGCTACACACCACATTGCTTCTGACCTAGCCAATCTCTCACTACATCAGCAGCCGTACCTTGGCGGAGAAGAAGTTGTTGTCGGCAATGGAGCTGCTTTACCAATCAACCAAACCGGTTCAACTCTCTTACAAACCCCTACTCGCCCTCTTCACTTAAATAATGTTCTTTATGTTCCTGCAATACAAAAGAATCTTATTTCAGTATTCAAGTTATGCAATACTAATCAAGTATCGGTGCAATTTTACCCTTCATGTTTTCAGGTGAAGGATCTCAGAACGGGGGTCCCGTTACTCCAAGGCAATACCAAGAATGAGCTGTATGAGTGGCCTATCTCACTGTCAGTCCCTACGACCTTCTACACATCCACCAACAACCTCAAAACCACCATCTCTGACTGGCACTCAAGACTAGGCCACCCATCCCTTCCCATTCTTAAAACTATCCTATCGCAATTTTCTCTACCTTATTTTAATACCATGTCTCAGTCTTTACCTTGCAGCAACTGTTCTATCAATAAAACTCATAAACTCTCTTTTTCAGAAAGCTCAATCTCCTCCTCTCGTCCACTTGAATATTTATTTTCTGATGTTTGGACATCACCTATCCTCTCTATCGACAATTACAAATACTACCTCATTATTGTCGATCATTACTCTAAATACATATGGCTTTACCCCTTACAATACAAATCCCAAGTGAAAGAAACTTTCATTCGATTCACTACCCTAGCAGAAAACAAATTCCAAGCCAAAGTTGGTACCTTATTCTCTGATAACGGAGGAGAATTCATCGCACTCCGTCCCTTCTTAGCAGCCAAAGGCATCAGTCACCTCACCTCACCACCTCACACCCCTGAACACAACGGCTACGCTGAAAGGCGACACCGTCATCTTGTCGAAACAGCCCTCACCCTACTCACCACTGCAAAACTCCCACTCCCATACTGGACCTATGCCATCACCACTGCAGCGTATCTTATTAACCGAATGCCAACCCAAACCTTATCCAACCAATCTCCTTATCAAATCCTCTTTCACCAAACACCCAACTACTCCAAACTCAAAATTTTTGGATGTCTATGCTTTCCCTGGTTACGACCCTATACACCACACAAATTAGCTCCACGCTCTCTCCCCTGCCTCTTCCTTGGCTATTCCCTAACACAAAGTGCTTATCTATGCATGGACCTGGCCACGAATCGCGTCTATGTGTCCCGACATGT